TATTTTATTTTATTGTAATAAAAACACTCATCATGAGGTCCGTCCTCTTAGCCAGTTATAAGTACACATTACTGTCGACTATATGATCAATGTTGTACATTCATCTTAGTTAAATAAACCTTGATGCCGGTTGATTAATAGCAGCCCATTCCTCTCGCCCAAGCCCTTAGTAACATCATTCCTGTCCTTGAGTGTTTTTAGAACCTTGTAAGTGGCACCACGTAGCATTGGTCTTTCTGTACGCTGAGACGTTTTCTTAACCTGTACTTTTCCAATCCTTGTTTCTTCAGGGTATTTATTCACAAAGAATGACTCCAATTTTGTTTTTGGAGTACACAATTCTTTCTTACACATTTTCTCACCTACACCACAGCATGCAGTCTGGTCGCCTTTGTTACTCTTGTTCATTTTAGAGATGAGAAATTAAGGTTCATATATTTATTTAGCTGTGAAGTTAGCAGAACAGAAATTTGACCCCAGGTCTTGTGCTGTGTGTCCTGTGCTAAATTACAGGGTTCTATCTAAGCTGATCTCTCAGGGATTGCTTGAAGTGTAATATTGTTTGGAGGGCATAATACGCTGACAAGACTGTGTTGATATTTTTGTGAAGAAGACTTCCATGAATAATTTGGGTTGTTTTCTCTCTCTCTTTTTTTTAACTGCTTAGGGTTGGTGCAAATGTCCAGTTCTCCTGTGAGGATAATTATGTGCTCCAGGGATCCAAGAGTATAACCTGTCAGAGAGTCACGGAGACACTGGCTGCGTGGAGCGACCATCGGCCCATTTGCCGAGGTAAGGAGCACGTGACGGGGATGTCTTCCCGCATGCTGGTGTGTTTCATGAACACGAGTGAAGTCTCGAGCAGCGTTGTGTCCACTGAATACAGACAAAGCAGGACAAGGCAGACGGTGATGCACGTTTTCCTAGTGCGTCATATTTATTTGGAATTTGCGAGGTGGCAAACATTTGCAAGATATTAGCGGTTTTTAAATTTCCGGAACAACGGAAACAAATCTGATCACTCACACAACGCACACACACACACACTTACTCAGTGTTACCTGATACTCCTCTCCCTCCCTCTCTCTCTCTGTCTCTCCCACCCCTCCCCCCCTCTCTATATATGTAGATAGATAGGCATATAGATAGATACAGACACACAGAGACACACACACACACACACACACACACACACACAGTTTGCATGTTACTTGGTGTTACCTGGTACTCATCTACATATATATACACAGTTTACATATTACTCCGTTTTACCCAGTACCCATCTATATATACACACACACTTTGCATATTACTCAGTGTAACCAGGTACTCATCTATATATACACATAGTTTGCATATTACTCGGTGTTACCCAGTACTCATCTATCTATCTATCTATCTATCTATCTATCTATCTATCTATCTATCTATGTATCTATCTATCTATGTATCTATCTACACACACACACATACAGTTTGCATATTACTTGGTGTACCCAGTACTCATCTATATATACACACGTTTTGTGTATTACTTGGTGTTACCCAGTACTCGTCTACATATATATACACACACTTTGCATATTACTTGGTGTTTCCTGGTACTCCTCTGTGTATACACACAGTTTACATATTACTTGGTGTTACCCCGTATTTGTCTATATATATACACACAGTTTGCATATTATTTGCTGTTACCCGGTACTCGTCTGCATATATATACACGCAGTTTGCGTATTACTCAGTGTTACCCAGTACTCATCTATATATACGCACACACTTTGCATATTACTTGGTGTAACCAGGTACTCATCTATATATGCACACAGTTTGCATAGTAGTCGGCGTTACCCGGTACTTCTCTCTCTATATATACACACAGTTTGCATATTATGAAAATAGGTTACATAACTAGATCCTTTTGCAAGTTTTATGCACACCCCTGCAAATCTAAAAATATTCTCTGCTCAGTGGCAGTGAGGTTGAATCCTTGGGTTCTGGTATCAGTGGTAAAGGGACTTTAGTAGCGTGCTCTCAGGTTAATCTGTCACTGATGAACTATCTTAAGCTAATCTGTGCCATAGCAGAACATAATGCTGCACATCATCATTATCTTCTTCAAAGATGTCAAAATAAGATTTTGTTGCTTCTAAGAAGTATGTGAACAGTCTTACCACAATTCTACAATCCATAGCGAAATCAGCATAAAACTGCTTGGGTTGTTTTAATATGGAAAATTAATAAACTCCAAAGAGAAACCAGGGTTTTGTTTTGGTTTTGATTTTTGCATTTTGGCCATAAACTAATGTATGCAAATTGCTACATTTTAAAGAAGGGAAAAAAAGCGCTGAGTTGACCAAGGAATAAAAAGGGAAGTTTTAGGGGCGCCTGGGTGGCTCAGTCAGTTAAGCATTTGACTTTGGCTCATGTCATGATCTCACAGTTTGTCAGTTCGAGCCCCACGTCGGGCCCTGTGCTGACAGCTCCGAGCCTGGAGCCTGCTTCGGATTCTGTGTCCCGCCCCTCTCTCTCTGCCCCTCCCCTGCTCACGCTCTGTCTCTATCTCTCACAATTAAATAAACATTAAAATAATTTTGAAAAAGGGAAGTTTTATACAAGAGAATATCTTATCCCTCCTTATAGCCTTTGTGAGGTGAAGAGACTCATCATTTCTTTTCTAAATTTAAGCAACACCAGTGACATCCTGTGACGTGAACTGGTTACCAAATACACTGCTAGCTGTATCTAAGAACGCCAACTTTGCAAGATGGCCTGTACTGTACCCTTGCCTGCCGCCATTCGAGGCACTTGATCCTGTGGACGGTAGAGTGCTGGGGCATCGAGCTGCACCCTGGGAGAGAGAGCCTGTGTGCACTGGCTGCCAGCGCTTTCAGGGGGTTCTTTCCTCTGAGTCGGGCACGCTTCTTGGAGAAGCCCCAATCTCTGGTCAAGGAAACGCGAACGCTCTGCCCTCCTGCTCTTTGTCACAGACTACTTCGTACATCTAGTACTTAACAGACAGCAGCAGGCTTTCCGAGGAATTAGAGCAAAAGCCTTCCCCTAGCAAGTGATGGTGATGTCTGACACTCCCAGTAATAAATGAGGACTAATTCACAGGTATTATTTTAGCTTCCCTTAGGGGGAAAAATGCTTTTATTCTTTCATGTTTTTCTTGTTCTTTTGTACCAGAAATATATGTCATTATTTTAAACCCCAAACTAGGCAAAACTAGGAAAGATGCATCCATTTTAAATTGATATTTTAGAGTAAATTAAGGAAATATGTGTGTAGGACATTACTTTGACTCATTAAATCCATAACTTTTTTTTTTTTTTTTTTTTTTTTGGGGCCTGAATCTCATCTTAAGCTCAAAACACTCTCTCAGGCTCCCGACACCCACTTGTAACCTGACTTGTATCACAGCCTCTGAGGTGCTCATCTGTCATCCAGGCTGCGGGTCGGGTACCTTCTCCATCTTCCACCTCCGAACGCTCACACTTTGAGGTCATTGGACGGGGAGCCTTCCAGCTCCCTGTTCCCACAGATTCTTGTGTCTCACCGAACGCCGTTTTACCAGGGAAGGGCTCTTGCACAGGACCTCTGTTTGGCACATAGTTCCCCGACTTGTTCTTTGCGAGAGGCCCCTCCCCCTCTGATGCCCGCCTCTCTCATACCCAGAAGCAAAGGGTGATCAGCCCTCTTGCTGTTCCCTCCCAGTTGGTGATTCCGACAGTTGGCTTAAACCAGACAGCCCTTCGCTTTCAGGGAGTGATTCTGTAGTTCTTGTCCAATTACGTTTAACTTTCTGAAGTAATGAGCTATCGTCGCTGGGAGTAGTTCTTTTTTATTTTGTATCATGTATTCTTAAGCATCTCTTAATCTTTATCTATTTATGTTGAGAAAGAGCATGGGAGTGCCAGCAGGGAAGGGACGGACAGATGGAGAGAGAGGATTTCAAGCAGGCTCCATGCTGGCCGGGCTCGATACCACGAATCTTGAGATCATGACCCGAGCTGAATTATAAGAGTATGATGTTTAACTGAGCCACACAGGAGCCTCCGCTGGAAATAATTCTTAGGAAGACACTTCCATGAAGGATGTATAGATCAAGTCTGTAGACCTTAACTAGGACACATTGTGTCCGGGGAACAATAACAAATAATATATTTTTAAAGCTTAACGTTTAAAAATTTTTTTAATGTTTATTTATTTTTGAGACAGAGAGAGACCGAGCCTGAATGGGGGAGGGGCAGGGAGAGAGGGAGACACAGAATCTGAAACAGGCTCCAGGATCTGAGCTGTCAGCACAGGGCTCGAGTTCACGGAGCGCGAGATCATGACCTGAGCGGAAGTCGGACGCTTAACCGACTGAGCTACCCAGGCATCCCAAAAAGCTTACGTTTTAAAGAAAACTGTATTCTAGTATATTTTGGAGTAGCAAACCGTGAAACAATTTAAATGGAAAGGCCTGAAATCTTGTAAAGAGGAGAATCTGAGATCTGCTATTTAGAATTAGGGGATAAAGATCAGGTGACAAACATCCAGACCCCAGGGGAGCTTCACCCAGACGGAAATGGGTTTCTGTCTCACGAAGACATCAGGAGTCGGGCAGTGTGGGACCAGTATGGCAGCTCTGTTTTGGGGATGAAAATGTCCTCAAGACTCACCCTGTGAGCCCTGTGGTCGGGCCCTCCCCCTCACGGTTCTAGGCGCTATCCAAATCCCAGGTAGCCAGATCCAGGGGGTTAGAGGAAGCAGTGGAGGCAAAGCAGCTGTAACCTGAGGAAGGTTCCCCGGGAAGCATCACCTGCCTTTCTTCCTGCTCTGTCCCATTGGCCAAATCCCAGTCAAGTGTTCTCACCTGGCTGTGAGACTTCGAAACATAGTTTTGAGTTTAGGCAGCTAAATATGCAGCAAAAATTTGTATTTCCATGGAAGAAAGGGGAAATAGACATTCAGGGAAATTGTGTTCTCTGCCAAGGGGGGTGTTCTTCCTTAAGAGGGAGAGTTAGAATGAGTCACCGAATAGATATGTGTCATAAGTTCATGGTTTTTACGTGTTTGTTTGCTTGTTTTGTTTTGTTTTGTTTTGTTCCGTTTCATTTTGATGTTGCTTTTCTGTGTCACCTGCAGCTTTCTGTGAGTGAGAGGGCAAATGAGGAGGCAGTCATTCAGCCTTCTCTCACACCCACTAGCATTTCCATACAGTGCCGAGTTGTAGCTGTAAGCAATAAGGATGAAACCAGGTGGGACTGTGTGTAGAGGAACATCCCAGTTTCTGGACTGGAAACTGCTTATCTGTGAGCATCCTGGTGAAGTAAGGAACCTGTGCATTCCTTCTTGACCCTGTACTCCCCTCCTAACCACATACCCCTCTAACAAGAGGAAAGCCTCCTTGCTCAAAGCCAGCAGGCACATCCATTCTTCTAGTCTGGAAAACAACAGTCTTGCACAACATCAAGTGGTCCCCAGGTAGCATGACCTGGTCAGTGGCTCACACAGCTGTGGGCCAAACACATTAGTGCATCTGTAGGTTGGTCCTATAGAACGTTGTTTGGAGGAATTCTCTATCCGTGCTCTCTACTAGAAATATATGCCGTGTATGTACTTCAAGATATCTAGTAGCCAGATTGAAAGCCAGTAAAAAAGCAGCCGAGAAACAGGTGGAATTAAATTTAATAACATTTTATTTAATACAACTGCCCCGAATATTATCATCTTAACATACAGTCAATATAAGGATTATGAGAAGATTATTTACCTTCTTTCTCTCCTCTCTCTCTCTCTCTCTT